TTGTTTTGAAATATGCAAAATCTAAACTTAAATTAACCGTGCAGCCGTAATCTAAGGCAAATTTAGGACTCTTTTTTTGAGAAGTTATCAATTTTTTATATTAACTTTTAAACTAGCTTTTTTAATAAACTAACGTAGTTGAGCTACTCCTTCTTTATAGAGAAAAATTACAGATTGTTTACATGAATTTTGTAAACTTAAAAATAACTTTTAATTATACTTTTGAGTTCAATGCAGTTACAATTTCTCAGATTTATCCTAAACCCATCCCTTAAAATTTTTCTCTCTTCTTTTCAATCTATTTTCTTTTTTTTCTCAGTAACCTTATGAATTTTTTCTCCTTCTCTTTTGCTTTCTTTATTCTCAGAATCTCAGTAATGGTCGCAGCCTCGAGGGAATGACTTGATAAGATTCAAGATACATGTGAAGGTGGAAGATAATATTGGTGATACCACTTTTTTATTTATTTATGAAGAAGTTGAAAAATTAATCGATTGCAAAAAGTTTAGTGGATCACAGTGAATTATTATCAAGTAATCTTCTTCTACAACTTACATTATTGTGCAGTCGTGTAATATTATTCCCGAACTATATGATCACGATATATAATTTTTTTTTAACTTTCTAAGAAATGTGGAANGTATATTACTTTAAAAAAACTATCTATTCGATTGCAATTTTTTTTTTTTTCATTTTTGCTACAGAGTTCCATCTTAAAATCAGTGCTATATGTAAAATTAGTTCTTTTAATGGTAAGAGAAACTAATTAAAAGAAGTATCATATGTATCTACTATTTTTTTACTTATATTATTTTCCATCATTTATTTTCTGATTATTATCCGCGCATGGCGCGGGTATATATACTAGTTAAGCATTAGAGGTGCAACGACCCGATCGGTCGTTTTGAGGTCTAGCGCGTCGTTCAATAGTTTGAGGGGATGAGCAGCTTCACTTTAGGTATTATGACTTGCGCATAGTCGGAATTGAGATTCATGGAGTTCGGAGTTGATTTCGAAAGAGAATTCTCATTTCGGAAACTTAAAGTTGGAAGAATCTGATCAAGGGTTGATTTTGAGTAAACGACCTTGGAATTGGGATTTGAAGGTTCCAACAGGTTCGTATGATGATTTTAGACTTGGGCGTATGTCCAGATCGGGTTTTGGATGACCCGGGAGTGTTTCGCTGCCTATTATGGAAGTTAGCATTTTTGGAAGAATTTCATAAATTAGGGTTGAAGTGCATTTCAATGTTATCGATATCAGTTTGGGATTTCGAGTCTGGGAATAGCTCCGTATGATAATTCTGGTATTGGGAGCGCGTTCGGAAGTGGATTCGGAGGTCCGTGGGTCATTTTGGAGTCATTTGGCTAAAGTTAAAAATTTAAAGGTTTTTGAGAAGTTTGACCGGAAGTGGACTTTTTGATATCGGGGTCGGATTCCGATTCCGGAAGTTAGAGTAGGTCTGTAATGTCGAATGCGACTCGTGTGCAAAATTTGAGGTCAATCGGACGTGATTTGATGGATTTCGGCATCGAAAGTAGAAATTGAAGTTTCAAGTTCTTTAAGTTTGAATTGGAGGGTATTCGTAATAGTGTTGTTTGATGTGATTTGAGGACTCGATTAAGTTCGTATGGTATTTTAGGACTTGTTGGTATGTTTGGTTGAGGTCACGGGGGGCTCGGCTTGATTTCGGATGGTTAACATATCAAGGTTTGAAGTTGAAGAGCTGTTGAAGCTGAGGACCGCTGGTGTAATCGTATCTGCGGAGTGGGCACCGCAGAAGCGGGAAGGAATCCGCAGAAGCGGAATTGGACTGGGCTTGGCTGGGGCGCAGGTGCGACGCAGCTCCCGCAGAAGCGAGACCGCAGGAACGGTCGGGGCTCCATATAAGCGAACCACAGGAGCGGACTCAGTCCGTAGAAGCGGACGTGGTTGAGTTTAGTTGAGACCACACCTGCGATGGGAAATTTCGTAGGTGCGGAGCCGCAGAAGCGGCTGGTGGACCGAGGTGCGAGAGGTCGGGCTGGGCAGTGTGATTTATAAAAAACGGGTTTTTGGCTCATTTTTCTCACATTTTCACTTTGGTCAGGCGATTTTTGGAGCCTATGAAGAGGGAATTTCTTCATCTATTATGAGATAAGCAATTCCCGCACATAGTGAGTTAAATACATGGCTTGTATATGGAATTATACATGTAAAGTTTGTGAAAATTTGGGGTTTCGGTAGAAAACCTAGAAATATGTATTTTTGGATTTTAACCACGAGTTTGGAAATGGAATTTGGAATAAATGGTATATTTGAGTTCGTAATATTATGGGTAAAGTTTATCTTCAAAAAATTTCCGAATATGGGCACGTGAGTACGAGGGTAATTTTTACTTACTTTTCGATCGGGGTTAGAAATTATATAAATTGGATTACACTGAGATTTTGAATATATATTAATGGGCTCGCATAATTATTGGCTAGTTTGGAGCGTTGGGCATCAATTCGAGTTGTTTGAAGGGCTCGGAAGCCGGTTATGGAACTTCGGAGCGAGGTAAGCCTCCTTTCTAACCTTGTAAGAAGGAATTAATCCCATAGGTGAACTAAATTAATACATGCTTCTATTTGTGGGGGCCTACGTACGCACGAGGTGACGAGAGTCCGTGCGTAGCTACTATTATGCTTAAGTCCGGGTAGTATAGGACCCAAAAGCATGCTTTACTTGCAATATTCGCAACCTTATTGTCAATTTAAAATGCTTAAATCATATCGAACTTGGTAAATAAATTTTCTAAAAGGCTAAACATTATTTTCTTGACTTTTAAAAGAGAAATTGCCTTTTCCTTGGATAGTTACCCCTTGATGAATTCTTGATCGACTGTTTGAATGTGTTTATCTTTTGTGGAACGGGCCAAATGCCTCGGTAGATTAAATAGATGCATCTATGGTTCGCGCCATTCGACCCTCTAGCAGTGCACAATTTAAATATTATGTTGGATCGGGATGTACGACCTCGGCGTGGTTTGCGCATGCTTGTATTGCTTGCCCTTAGATTTATAAATAATGATATTACCTCCCTGGCCTGAGATAAATTGATAAATGATGAAATATGAATTTGGAAATCTCTTATTATCAAAAGGATTGTTTACTTGCTTCATGATTTCCTTGAGTTTACTGTCGTTTTTAATAAATCCACAAATAATTATATTATTGATGGCTATAGTAAGTGTCGGAGTCGACCTCTCGTAACTACTTCTTCGAGATTAGACGGGATACTTACTGGGTACGTGTTGTTTTCGTACTCATACTACACTTGCTGTACATTTTGTTGTACAGGCACACGTATGTTCAGTAGCCTTGTGGGCACAACGGCGTGACTGATACGGGGACTTAGGTGTGTTGCATCTTATGAGACGATCCGCAGCCAACAGAGTCTCCTTCAGAGTACTCGTATTTTCCTTTCTGTCCAAATTGTATTCCGGACAGTCATTGAATGTTATTTTTATTTCCTAGTAGATGCTCATGCTCTTGTGACACCGGGTTCTGGGTTGATTATGTGATTATTCAGAATTGAAAAATTGTTAAAGATACTATTATTCACTCTGTGAAGGTCATCATTTATTATTCGGAATAGGGTCTGATATATCCCTGTACTATGGTAAATTGTTTAAAATTATCCCCCGTTATACTATTGGGCCATAAAAGTCCCTACCGTCCAACTATCCAAACAAATCTGCCCTTAGTTTGACGGAGGTGCCACGTGGCATCCATCCTTGCCTCTTTTTAAATCTGGGCACATAAGAGACGACTCGCTCCATGAAACCCACCAACCCATAACCCATTTATAAACCAGAGAGATATTTTTATATTGCATATTGGTTTAGCAAAAAATTCAAAAACATATATACATATCTCCTGAATAGAGATTACTATTTGATTAATAGATGTTACTCTTGTTCTCCAAAATAAATTTCTAAAACTTAAAAAAATAAAAATCCAAATGTCGGAGAAGCGGAAGAACAACTGATTTAGTGAAGAATCCCAATAAAATGAAAACCAAAATAGAAAAACAAATTTAAGGTCTAAAAACGGAACAAAAAACAGAGAAATGAAATAGGAACGGCCTAAAAATATTAAAAAATAATTTTTGAACCTTCAGATTGTAGAATCATCATAAGGTCGAGAGGAGAAGTCATTGAAGGTCGAATAGCATCGAGAGAGAGAGAGAGAGTATATAGATAGATAGAGAGAGATATATTCTCTTCTAGTGATTTTATTGCTTTTGATGTTTCATTTGAAAAATCAGGAAGAGGCATCTGCCACACAAGTGAATATGCTGCTCTACCGCCTTCTGTTTTGTTTTAACAAAAGAAATAAGTACCAAGCTAACAAATTCATTAAAAAAAAAAAACTAGCAGAGAGCAATACATGTGGCTTGCGCATTTGTTGATGTGGGGAAAGAGTTCAAACTTAATCCGAAAATGAAATGGACAAAGCTGGAGAGTATTTTCATGTTCTAGATAGTTAGTGAGAGAAGAAAATGAAACGGGAAAATGAAATGGACGAAATGGGTATTATTTGGTTTATAAATTTGGTGGGTTTCATGGAGCGGGTCGTCTCTTATGTGCCCAGATTTAAAAAGAGGCAAGGATGGATGCCATGTGGCACCTCCGTCAAACTAAGGGCAGATTTGTTAGGATAGTTGGACGGTAGGGACTTTTATGGCCCAATAGTATAATGGGGGATAATTTTAAGCAATTTAACATAGTACAAGGATATATCAGACCCTTTTCCGTTTATTATTTGACTTAAGAAAATTATGATTTCAAAAATATTAAAACGAGAACCAATTTAATTATTTATTGTGGGTTTGCGGGGCCATCACAATCTTTAATGATTTTTGGGTCGTGACAATAGGCATTTGGAAAATATTCGTCGGAAGTTCTTAAAACTATATTTAAAGGTAAAGTAAAAGAAGGATATTTGGAGAAGTTTGAGGGGGGAAGTGAGAGTGGAAAAGTTCCTTAAAAAAAGAAAAAGAAATTTATAAGCATTTTACTCTATCTCCAAAAGTTCCAAGGAAAGAGAAAAGGGACCTGAAAATATCCAAACGATAGATTTTAATTAATAGCAATTCGTGACATTATCCGTTTTCTTCACATTTCCCCCTTGTAACCTCACCCAAATTCTCGTATTTCCGTCGTTGTTCACATTCCCGCCGGCGGCTGGAACACAATCGCCGGCAACCAACACACAATTTTCCCAGTAGTAATGAAGTCCATATCGCCCCTATTCTCAGTTTCCACTCCCAAGTCTCCAGTTCTCATCTTCACTCCTATTTCCCAAGGATTTTCATCTGCCAAATTTGCAGCCTCTCGACAGCGAAAGTCACCATCTTTAAAATCAGCTAAAACACTGTCTCCAACACTTACCGTGGACCCCATAACTACGCCCACATCTACTTCCACTTCCACCCCTCCCAAAAAGGTGTCTAATTCTTTTCTGCTCTCAATATTTGTTTATTCAATTACTTCGTATCTCATTCTTTTTCATTTGGTGCATATAGGTTCTTGTGCCAATTGGATTTGGCACTGAAGAAATGGAAGCTGTAATATTGGCTGATGTTCTGCGCCGGGCTGGTGCAGAGGTAACAATTGCGTCAGTAGAGCAGCAGTTGGAAGTTGAAGCATCAGGAGGAACTAGGCTAGTTGCCGATACTTTCATCTCTGCTTGTTCCACTCAAATATATGATCTTGTTGCATTGCCGGTTAGTATGACCTTTCCTTAGTACTGTGGCTTTCATTGATTATTTTTAATGAAATATCCGTAAAAGTTATTTGTTTGTTACAAGTTGTGAAGATTTATGGGAAAGACAGATGCTTTGAAGTACAAATGTCTCTCAAACATTTTTTGCTGGAGTAAACATCATACTGTTAAATTGAAACTTGAGTTAGTTAAGTCTTGTATTGTTACAGTTGTCTTATGAGATTGGAATTGGTTCAAGTGTGAAAGAAGTTACAGGGATACAAGGTGTTCTTTTGCTTCAATGATTAATAGGTTTCACACATTTTTGGTTGCAACACTTATGTCCTTGTACAGATTTTTCTTGCTTGAACATAGTCTCATAGTATTTTCGCTCTAATTTAACTTCTGGATTTGATAGTAGGCTTATAGGTATTCTTTCTGCTCCCTTCATAATGGTTTTATCTAATATGTGTATCAATGTCATAGGTGTAACTTTGGTAACTGATGTATAGACTTAATCTAGGGAGGAATGCCAGGTTCTGCTCGTTTAAGAGACTGTGAAGTTCTCAAGAAGATCACAAGCAGGCAAGCTGAGGAGAAGCGACTTTATGGTGCCATATGCGCTGCTCCAGCAGTCACTCTTTTGCCTTGGGGTCTTCTCAAGAGGAAACAGGTGCACTATTGATTATGTTTATTGAGTTCGCTTTCTGAACAGTATCTATGTTCCTAGTTCGTCTAATTGATATGCAGTTTCCTTCAAGTCCACTTGTCATCCTGCATTTATGGACAAAATTTCATCCTTCCGGGCGGTGAAAACTAGCACTCAAGTCTCTGGGGAGCTAACAACAAGCCGTGGTCCTGGTACTTCATTTGAGTTTGCCGTATGTTTAGTGGATCAGCTGTTTGGTGAGTCTGTTGCCAAAGATATTGGAGAACTATTGGTGAGTGGATGACATTACTGACATCTTAAAGTCTCTACTTAACTTCTAGTTCTACACTTCCTCTCCACACAAATTTGCCTTTTAAACTCAACGCTGATCTGATTGGTAAAAGTGGATCATTCATGGGTTGTTATTTAGTGATATCCCTCACTCTATCCAGTTCGTATTGGGTTGAAATACTGAAAACATATATTCGATGATGAATATTGCTAGTTAGGTTCTGAGGACATGTTTAACTATTATGTATGGCTTCCCCATTGCTTCCAGCATTGACTTGAGAGGTGGAAAATGGAGTTTATTTCTGTTTCCAGGATCAAATATGAAAAGGGTGTTAAGAGAAAGTTGTTCCTTGTGACATCTTGCAATTATGAAACACCTTTTGTGAACACTTCTTTTTTATTTTCCTTTGAATTGTTTGTATCTGACTTGCATTGTTTATCTGATTAGTTTGCTTGTTATCCTTAGATTGTGCTCATAGAACTTCCGTACATTTGTGCAGTTAATGAATCCCGCAGACGATGACCCAAAGAGACAAGAATTTAATGAAGTTGGATGGTCTCTAGATCACACCCCGCAAGTAAGCTTCCTTGTTTTTGCTTTGTATAGCTGGAATTTAAACTGCAATTACTAAGTTAAATTCAATAACAATGCAATCACCTTCCTATGAATTCTTTATCTTGTGGAATAATGTCAAGGGCACTGTTTAATGGTCTTATCTGTGAATGAGCATTTTCCTTATTCGGTGCTTATCCATTCATCATATCTGCCTTGAACTTGAGTGGAGCTTTATGCTTGAATAGTTAACTGAGCTATCTCACATTCTCACTATCAAGGTTTAAGATTCAAAATGCCATTTGAGTTACACTATTCTTCACAGCTTACTTCTCTTGCTCACATTTTTTTTTGACTTTGCAAAAGGGTTTGTTGAAAATGTTCTCAACCGTAGGAAATATACTCTTTTCACATGGAATTTGTGCTTGAGATATATATAAAAGTAACTCCATTATCTAGGAACAATTACAGGCCGATGCCTGTCTGACTCGTTGAGAAATTTTCACTTGTGTCCTAGGATTAATAATACTGTCGCGTAAAGAAACAATAAAGGCTTTGCCTTTTCTTGATTTTTTACATCTGGCAGGTTTTTCACTTTTCTGTTTAATAAGAATTTCTTTCCTGAAACATGTGGAATTCTCTGTCTTCACAATGTTGTAGGTTCTCATTCCAGTAGCTAACGGGTCTGAAGAAATTGAAGTTGTTACATTGATAGACATTCTAAGACGAGCAAAGGTGAATGTTGTGGTGGCTTCAGTGGAAAAATCAGCACAGGTCTTGGCATCAAGTGGAACAAAAATTGTTGCAGACAAGTTGATTGATGCTACTGCTGACTCCATATATGACTTGATTATCCTCCCGGTGAGGCTAAATCTTCTCATTTAATTTTAACCAGCATTTCCGCCAGTTTTCCCAAAGTTATAGGCGCACAAAGAAAAGCCCCTATACTGATGAAAATGTACCTATTAGCAGCTCGTAAATGAGAATGATTTTTTTAGGTCCTATCACTTGCTTTTAATTAGTTGGTTCTAATTCTTTAGGGAGGAACTGCTGGGGCTGAACGGCTGCACAAGTCAAAAGTTCTGAAGAAGTTGCTTAAGGAACAAGAATCAGCCGGAAGAATATTTGGTGCAATCTGCTCTTCACCTGTAGTCTTGCAGAGACAGGGGTTAATAAAGGTATGCTGTTAGCCATTCAAATGTCTAAATTTTGGGAGAATAAGTATAATTTAAACTTTCTTCCTTAAGCAGGACAAGAAAGCCACTGCACATCCTGCCATCATAAACAAGCTCAAAGATGGGGTGAATGATGCTCAAGTAGTTATTGATGGTAAACTCATCACAAGCCAGGGGCTTGCTACAGCAACACAGTTTGCATTGACTATTGTGAGCAAGCTTTTCGGGCATGCAAGGGCAAGGAGTGTAGCGGAAGGCCTTGTCTATCAGTACCCTAGGAGCTAGAAATATCAGTCCTGCAAACTTTAGAGTGCCCAAGTATGTTAAAGGGGCAGCTTAAAATGATGGACTACATACTTCACTGTCCAGTACAAGAAAACACAAGTTTTGGTCCCTGATGACTTGGTAGCAGACATAACAAGCTTAAGGGTGAAGTTTTCCTAAGTCTGTCAAAGGTATTCGATTTATTTCAATGCAGTAGCCAAGTCAGCGTTTATCTGCAATCATGACAAACTGGGTGGATATCTCAGAGCAAGATGGTTTATACATGCACTTTTATCCTTTTCCCTTTTCTTAAGAAGATATAGTCCTAACCTTACAATACAGAGTTCTACCAGATCTTACCTTGCATTAGGGCATCTACTATCACTCTGCCTGGCATGCATTGGAAAGAGGGAAGATAAAAGCAATGACAACAGTGATTGGCAAATTGCCCCTCACCTTATCTTAGTCTCATCTCTCAAGTTTCTTTTCTTCGCGTAGGATTGGCCTCCAGAATCATGTTTATTGGCATTTAGAGCATAAATAGAGAAAGAAAGAGTGCTGCTTATATGTTGTACCTGATCTTGGTTTATACTGGACAATAGATTCTTTTGTAGATTTGGAATTATATTCTGTGTAATCTCATAATCCAGGAGACTGCAAGAATACTGTTCATCTTTACTAATGAGCACTTTGGAAATGAGACAAGAGTTGATAGAATATATAGACAATTTTTTTGGTTTTGTCACACATTTACCTGAGGGCATCACAAGTACTTTGCGCCTCGGTCGTATCCCTTTACCAGTTGTGGCAAGACTTGAAAGAGTAAGAAAGCAGAAACAATCGGTTCATAAATTGCTTGTTATCTTTACAGAAAAACCTATGTCTAAATATGTTTACCTCTTACCTGTTTTTTGTGATAAATCTATCACCTAGCTATTGAACTGATGCATCCTACTTGCCTGTATAACTAATGTGTGAAAGAAATAAAAAGTACACAAAGAGGAAACTTCATACAAGCAGATTGTTTACATAATGTACATACATGGGCACGATCTCACTCCCCATACATAAAGTTACCAAACATGTGAAGAAGATAGATCTGAATCAGATCATAACTCAAAACTACATCCACCTATTTAACTAGTTCCTAAGCTTGAACTCAAGAATTTTTGCTTTAAACTTCTCATTCTTCTACCAAGGTCCTGTCAGTGTCCTTCTCAAGCATCCTAATTTGTAACCGCATGGCATATTCCTCTTTTCCAGTAGCTGCAATTGCACAGAAACGAATGGTTAACAGCCAAATCTAGGGATCAGACAGTATACAACTTGGTTTGACTAATAACATGTTCTAATCTCACTGAGTAGAAGCCGAATAAACTTGCAGATTTATAAATATTCACAGGTAATACAGTTTTCACAAGAATGCGTAATTACTCCATCCACTCAGGCAGTTGATGACTTAAATGTAGCTTGTCTCACCGAAGCTTTGCTCATTTTGTTGATTAGTAAGTCATGTACTACTACTAATCTTATTCATTTGCTTACAATGTGGCTAATTTATATTGTTTTGACTCACCCTTTTACCAACTAGTATTAGAATAGTCATTGACGAACAGAAAGTTCTGCTATTACTACAAGAATTTCGCACCTGATTTTTCTGCTTCTCCATAATTTCAGCCTGCACGAAAAATTCAAAAGTGAAAGTTACAATTAGAACACTTATCAGTGACATTGCAGTAACTCTGTGATTCCTGACCATTTGAAACATACCTGTTTCTTCCGCAACTCTTCATTAATTTCTTTTAGCTTTGCCACTTCAGCTTCCAACTCTAAAGTATAGGCCTGTCAAATCCCAAATAAAATTGCGATTAAGAAATCCATTCACAATATAAACATTTACAGTAACAAATTCTAGTTGTTAATCACAGGATACCAAAGTTTATAAACGTGTTATAGCAAACTACTCCCTGTTTCACTCTCAAATTCCTCACACCTGTAATAAAGATCCAAAAATCTAAAGCTGCAACTGAGTGCACATGCTCTTCCTAAAAGCCAGCCACACTTAATGTATTATTTGCTTGATCGGGTAATTTATTAATCCACGAGTACCTGTGCCTATCTTTTTCTAGGGTTGGTTATAAAGATTATCAGCTTGATAAAACATAAGAAAGCTTTTTTTTCTGTAAGTAGATAAAACATAAGGAAGCTGTTGTAAGGAGATATAGCAATGTTTGAAAAATATCAGACATTGTTAGGTATAAAGAAATTAGAGAAGATTCTCATCGGGAGTTCTTAAAATGTTAATGCTGCCAAAAGTTTCAGTTCTGTTATTTACAGTATAATGTTGCTGAGCATAATGAGCTCAACAATCAGAAGCACAAGAAAAAAAAATTGTAACTGATCAGATAAAGCTGAACATATGAGTTCACCTGCTTCCGGGCCCTTGATCTAGCTGCGGACTCTCTGTTCTTAATCATCCTCCTACGCCTTCTCTCCACAACTTTTTCCACAGAACTGCCTGATCTCCTACCTCTTCCACCTTCATTAAATGCATAAGGGGAAGGTGAAAGAGATGATGTATCTGTATTGCTCCTTGCAGCAAAGTCATTTCCAGGGGATCCTCCTTTTGCTGGTGAAACTCCATTATGAAATCCGGTCATCCCCCTAACTCCGCCTTGAGCCATATTTGTATTTACGGAAGGACCGGACATTCCAACTACAGGAGCCCTTGTCCGAGGGCTAGCCAGGTGTCCATTGTTTGATAATTGCATAGGCGATGCAAATGCCACCGTTGTTTGCTTGGGAAAAAGAGGCTGTTGGTGCTGAGGTTGTTGCTGTGAAGGTGTGGCACCAACCACATTCAACATGTTATTAGCTGCAATTTGATTGATCAACAGTCCATTGTTTTGAGTTGGTTGCTGAAATGCTATGTTCAAACCATTGTTGTTACTGTGTTGACTTGAACCATTGTCAAATGTAATACCATTTGAATTTGTACACTGCATATCCTCTCTAACCACCCCTGCTCTAACCAAAAACTCCTCCAATGTCATTTCTCCCAAGGTAGATTGCCTCTGCCCAAAGTTTGAATTCCCAGTGCTACTTCCATCTTTAGCACTAACTGTTTCTTTTTGAAAATCTCTCCATACTTCATCAACTGTTTTCTGACTAAGTGTTCGAGGTAATGTCAAAGAACCTTGTCTCTGCAAATTTCCTGCAGCTACACTCTCATCTACTCCACCAGTAGTAGATGCCGTAGCTTGAGTTTCTTCAGCTGTCCAAATACTTTTCAAGAGGTCCTCCATATTCATTGATCCAAAATCTTTTCCAAGTCCACTAAACGTAGTTTGAAGCTCATCAAAGGTCAGGGAATATATGGAAGATTGCCTAGCCAAAGGGAAATTACCATTACACATTGACTTCCCACCGTTATTCTCTGGCTGCGGCGAGTCAGCAAAATTCTTGAAGTTCAAGTAAGATCCCATGGTAAGAGAATCCAAAAGGTATTTGGATATCTGATAAAGAAGTTCAGTAGTAAGAATTAAATGGTAATTTCAAAGGCCTCTTTCACAGCCCAAAAGACAGCTATAACAACAACAACAACAATTACGCCTCAATCCCAAACAAGCTGGAATCAGTTATATGAATCATCACTGTTCGTATTGCTTCATTTCAGCCCAAAAGAGCAAGTATTAATTCCAGTACCACCTCCTCACCTAAAGAATGTCTAAACATAGATACTTTAAGATAATATTAACCAAAAATAACAAGACATGTTCTTCATATCCAGATTGAAGATGTCCCACTAGAGAAAGATGCAATCTTTACAATCTTACTTTAGTGTAACTTTGATTAACTGAAGAATTCATGATCAATCTGGTTTTACTCAAAAACCCATATTAGTATAGTTTTTTTGTTTTTTTGGGGGTCAAACATATTAGTATAGCTCATTTCAGTATAGAACATACTAATAGAGCTAGTAGCCTAGATCAGTTTGACTTAACTTAATCCAGAACATTCTTTGTATACAACATAGATCCAAGATTTAACAATCCCCAAAACCTCAGATCAAAATTTATTCAAGTATCAACTTTAACCTAAATCACAACCACCCAGTATCATCTATACTTAAACAAAATATAATAGTAGTTCATAAATAAAAGAAACAACATAGTATTAATCTTGTTCAAGCTCATTCCAAGCTACAAATATTTCAACTTTATTAATTTGGTAGACAAATGGTCAATCAAAAAAGAAAGATCGAGAAAAAAGATTGATAATTTCTTGAGTTGTTCTTAGAATACAGACAAAACAAAGTATGAAGTAGAAAGACAAATATACCCTTTTTGATGCAGAGAAGGGAGGGAGCAGAAGAGAGCTGAAGCGTGTCGTTTCCTTCTTCTTCGCTGATTAAGGGCTTGCTGGAGTCGACAAGTGTCTTCTTTCCTCTTTGATGTGTTTTTAAAGCGCAGCTCTTTCTGATTTTATTTTTTAAATTGTTTTCGTCTCTATTTTTTTATTTATTTCCAATTACGTGTTGCTCTAGAAGTGCAGAACGTGGACCAATGAGAGAGCTGTATCTTTTGATGTGACTGTAGCCAATAGGATAATACAACGTGGAAGATGTATTACCGTTGATTTATCCTTTTCCGACAAGGAAATAGATGGCGCTTGTTCATTTGTCTATTACTAAAGTTGAAAATTTAGAGCACGTGCGTCAACTTTACTAGTTTAAATTTTCTTTTTCGAATTTTACTAGTTTAGATAATTAAACTTTTGTAGTAAAAAGAGTTGATGCTTTTCAAATACAGTAATAGTTTCATATTAAGTGAACAGGTATTTCTTTTAATTTTATTAGAGTACGCGCGTTGCGCTTGCGCGTGTATCTCGTATATTTTATATATTTATTTTTTATTAAATAAGAATTAAAGAAAAAAATTGAGTTCCTACAACAATAATGAACATTAATCCTTATTTCTCAAATTAAATAAAGGAAGATCTCTATTCTACGAAAGTCCTCGTATACTTTATTATTTGGACTTTCTTTAGGGATACCTAGGATCTTATTATTATCATAATAAAGAGATTATACATGCTGATATGAATGTTCTTACTTTCCTTAGCTCAATAATGATAGGTAATATCAGTCAGCCACATATCTCTACTCTAATATTTGCTTGTTACATGCAATAACTACATGCTAAATGGATTTATTGATAGTAGAACAGTCTACGTAAATTCTATTAACATTTTCTTAAAAAAGAATCGCTTGAGTCTGCAACAAACATTAGCAATTTGAAAATAATCATGAGCTCTTGAGTATGCTTTCTATACAATTTGCTTTAAGTTTGTGTTCTTTTCTTCTACAATTGACTTGCAGCTCGAGTTTCTGGTATCTCAAAGTGGAAAACTTTTATTGTCACCTGGATTATTATTGTTCCAAAAAAATCATTTTTTTATAATTATAAATTCTTTTGAAAATAATTTTACTTGACTTACATAACTTATTTTGGTAGGGTAAATTCCTATTAGGAGTTTATATATAGTTCAAATAAAGGAAGGATATAATAGTCAAAATTTTAGTTAGTTTTAATGTCCTAAATATTAGAAAATACTAATCACATGATAATTTTATCCGATATAATATTTATTTTTAAATGATAAAAAAGTTGACCAATTTAGTTTTGAAGTTTCGTGCTT